GAATTCCATTGTGTATATATACCACATTTTCTTGATCCATTCATCTACTGAGGGGCATCTGGGTTGGTTCCATATCTTAGCTATGGTAAATAATGTGCAGCTCTAATCTTTAACCATGTTTCTAGTACAGCTTTTTTGCTGATTAATTGGAGATTGAATCTCTCAGATTCAAGATTCTCACTGCAAAACATTTGAACTAATCCTACAAATCCATGCCCCAATTGCTGCTGACATACATGATAGTTTATACTTTTCTTTCTCTATAATTATGAATAGTAGGATCCCATTTCTTTCTCAGAAATTTCTTGGCTTGGAAAATTCATATGTTTATCTAAGTAACATTTCAATAATTATTTAAGAAATATAACAATGTAACTAATCTTTTAGTTATAACTTGAATAGGATTATTTTGGAAGAAAATTCTCTTATTCTTGAGAGATTTATTAATGGAAAATTGAAAGGCACAAAATTACTAATTTTAAAGCAGAAGGCAAGTGTAACATCACACAATCATTTTCTTAATGGCCTTTCTCAGTTATAATTTAACTTTCTCATAATTATCTCAGTATTTGTTTTTGAAAGAATTTAAACTCAGATCCTTGAGCTTGCTCAGCAGATGCTTTACTGCTGACCCATGTCTCTACCCTTTTTTGTACTTGTTTTGTTTTGAGATAATATCTTGCTTTTTGCCATGCTGTCACTGGACTGTGATTCTTCTCTTTCACATTTTCTATAGTAGCTACATTATCAATTTTGTGACACCACACTCAGCTTCTTCCATTTTTGTAGATATTTTTTTCTGCCCAGGCTGACCTTGAACCATGAATCTCCCAACTTTAGCCTCTCAAGTAGGATTATAAACATGAGTTACTAGTTCCACCTCAGTACTTTTTTAAGTGACTTTGAGAAATCATAACCTTAAAGAATGTAAAGTCAACAAAATAATCACTAGTAATAACGACTTCCATTTTTATTTAAAACAACCTAATTGGTATCTGTATGTTTTAAATAAACAATTCGCTTTTCTTACGATACCTGTGTTTAGAATGAATGCATGAGGGCTGGGAAGGTGGCTCAGTGGTAGAGGGCTTGCCTTGCATGCATGAGGCCCTGGGTTCGATTCCTCAGCACCACATAAGCAAAAAGAAAAAAGCCGGAAGTGGCGCTGTGGCTCAAGTGGTAAAGTGCCAGCCTTGAGCTGAAGAGCTGAGGGTCAGCGTCCAGGCCCAGAGTTCAGACCCCACGACCAGATCCAAAAAAAAAAAAAGAATGAATGCATGATATATCTAGGATATTTGTCATTATTTATAGTTACCTATTTTTATTCAACAAATTTTACTTTATAAATTATGGGCTCTACAGATTATGGTTAAGTGTGCATCTTTGAGAATTTGTCTAGTTACTTTTTGGAATGTGGATCTACTTTGTATTCAATTATGTGTTTCTGATGTACAGATTTTCAATATTTTATAGATGTTTAAAATTGAGCATTTTATGTTCCTAAATTCTTGTGCTTATATTCTTTACCAATAAAGGTGTATGGTAAAAAAATAGATGGACAACAAACCATTATCGCATGTATGGAAAGCCATCAGTTCCAAGCAAAAAATTTTTGGTAAGTTAAAAGTTTTATGTATTGAGAAAATTGTACATTGTTTATATGTTTTGTAATACTTGCTTTCATGTTTGGGACTATAACTTGTTTGTGTATAATTGATTAAGAGCAACATGAACAATAATTGAAAACTTCAGCCTTTTGATATATGAAAAGTATGTTTCATAATCAACCTAACCATTAAAGGGTAGCATTCAGTGAAAAGAGTGTAGGAGAAAATCTTGTTTTTTGGAGACTAGCAGGCAACAACCTAAGGGAGCATGTGTGCATGCAAGCCGACCAGTTGGCAGACCCATATGCTCATTCTGAGAAGGGAGTGTACTTAAATGAAATTTATGTCAGAGAGGAGGACAGAGACAAATTTCAAGCAAAGAATGATAATTCTTTGTGAACATGGGGCTCTGAAATAGAAATTTTTATAGAAATTGTTTGGTCATTGTAAAAAAGTAAAATTATAATCATGCCTTGTAAAAATGTTTGGCAAATATTTGCTTTTTATTGTTAGATAAGACTTTCTGAAATATTGCTTGTTATCTATTAGTCTTTCTCTCATTAGTCATATTAGCTGTTGGTGCTCTTGAAGACAAATTTCAGAATTCTGTACTCTACCAGACCAATTTGGACTGTGGCTCAAGATTGCTCCACTGTTTAACTCTCAGAAATAAATGAGGGCTGTGGCTCAAGTGGTAGAGCACTAGCCTTGAGCTGAAGAGCTGAGGGACAGTGCCCAGGCCCAGAGTTCAAGCCCCATGACCATACCCCCCCAAAAAAGGAAGTAAATAAAATGTTACAAGGTTAATCAAGAATATCTGGAGAAATGCCAATCCATCATCACTGAAGGAAAATAATTTTGTATTTAGGCATGTGCTTTAATGACAAGTAGTAGTTTCCTAAAGATTCTGGCATGCACATGTACTTTTATTGACTTAACATTAACATAGTTTCTCTGTTTATCGCCAAAATTTTGTAACATGAATCTATCAGAATTTTAAAATAATAAATGTTTGAAAAGTTACTAATTTATGAAAATATCATAAAAATCAATCTTGGATTTAACTACTAAAGGAAAATAAACTACAAATTAGTTTTCAAAAAACATAACTCCTTTGAACTTTAACCTATAAAATAAAATGTCGTTTTTTAGTCTCATTATTTCACTTTGTATATATTAGTATTGTTTTCTAAACCACCATCATTGAAGTTAAAAATGATCTTCACTTTTGGAAAAAGATAAAGGTATGTGAATTTCCAGAGTGATAATTATTAGCACAAGGATCTCAGTCAAATCTAAATGTTTTGATACAAAGAAATGTATTTCAGTTTACCTAAACTTTATAGGTAGAATAAAAATTAGAGATTAGTTGTGGGTACATTTTAAACTGATTTGAAAACCTTCTCTTCTTGGTCTCTAGTTTCCTCCATGTCTCAGTAGTATTAGGCTTAATCTATGTTAGTTGAAAGAATGTATATTTACAATTAGAGAGTTAATAAAAGACTAGCAGAATATTGTTACAGAGTAGGACATCTGGCATTTACTCCATTGATAAAGGGGTATTTGGAGGAATCTTTAGATACAGTTCTCAGATTGGTACCACAATTTTTTTCTTCTTTTCACAATCAGTGGTGACATATTTATCTTGTCATAGCTGACATTTATATAAATGTAATATATATTTAAAATTGCTAGTGGCTTGGTATTAATATCTAAATAAAAGATAATTTATTTTGGACTCATTAAAAAAAGCATATAGACTTAAATTGTTGTTCCCTCAACCCCAGCCAAGCTGCTTTTAGAATATTTTTGGATGGGTTGCTCAAAAATAAGATTGCTATATATAATTTTAAAAAATATATTTATTTTTCTGGGGATTAAATCCATACTAGGTAACTCCAGTCCCAAATTATGCCTCTTGTTTTTAATTTCTCAATTTCCAACCATGAGTATATATCATGTATCAAAATCATTTTGGAAATTGGTACTTCCTATATGTAAACTTAATCCTAAAATTGGTAACTTCATTTGTAGAGATCAAAACCTACTAAAGAGTATTGTATAACATTTTCTAGCAATTTATAAAATTGGTATCTTGTGATCAGGGATAATGAAAACTCAGGGAAATTGGAAGGAGTAACATTGTCCAAAAGGAAGTGTACTTATTACCTGAATTGTGATATGGTAATCCCTCTGTACAACACCTTAATAATAACAGTAAAATTATATTTTAAACCTCTTTGCTAAATTGCTCTATTTTGTTAAGCTGTTTTGTATTGATTAAAAAATCACCATAATCTAAACATTACTCAATTTATTCTTAAATATTAAGCTACTTTTGATAGATGCTATTTTTAACTTAAAGAAATAGCTTAACATTTTTCTTCAAGAAGTATTTTACATGATTTAGATGTGAAGGTTAGCAACTTTAGGATTCTCATATTACACCCATTATTCAGGTATTTTCTTTTTTTGTTTTTGTCAGTCGTACGGATTGAACTCAGGGCCTGGATGCTGTTCCTGAGCTCTTTTACTCAAAGCTTGCCTTCTTACCACTTTGAGCTACAGCACCACTTCTGGTTTTCTGGTGGCTAATAGTCTTATAGACTTGCCCAGGCTGGCTTTGAACCGTGATCCTCAGATCTCAGCATCCTGAATAGATAAGATTATAAGCATGAGCCACCAGTACCTAGCCTCTGGTGTTTTCTTATTAGCAGAGTGAAGATTAACTATGTCTCATAACTGAACTTAATCTTTCGATTCTTTTGAATATTTTGATGGTTAAAAAAATCAGTGTCCAGCATTTCTTTCTCACATTCCCTTATACTATAGCATTAAATTTAAATTTGAAAATTAATATTGATTCAAATTATTTTCCCTACCTTATTTACAGCTGCTGTTTTTATTTTTAAGGAATGGTCGTTGGAGGTCAGAATGGAAGTTTACAGTCAGTCCTTCAAGCACTCAAGTGGTTGGCATCTTGAAAATTCAGGTATGTAATAAGGAATTTGCTTATGATCTCTACATGGTTTCTTAACAAAGAAACAGCTAATTTATAAGCTTATATTTTCATAGTATACAACATTCTTTCCTGTCCAGACTTGTTTTAGGGCAAAGGGAAAAACAAATAGTGCTGTTTCACATGTTAAGTAACATTGCATTTTGTTCCCTAATCATCAGAAATCTGCAAAGATAGTTGACAGATTCTAAAACACAGCTAAAATTAGATGTTACCATTTGCTCTTCTCATAATTTGTTCGTAAGTATCTGATTTTTTAATTATGCTCCCCTGTCATCTAAATTGAGTGTTAGTGGTTGAAGTACAATATTAATATATGCATGTATAAATACATCTTGCAAGTCATATTGTATTTATATTTTGTTACATATTACACCTGTATTCTAAATATCTTCTGTATTGGTATTTGGTTTCTTATAAAACCCAGTAGAATTAAATTATTAAAGTAACCTTTAATGTTTATAAAATTATTTGAATGTAAATACCAGTATACATTACTATAAGTTAAAGGAAAATACTGACTAGTCTTCCTATTTTGGTTCACTTATTAGATCAATACATTTATGGATCAACTACTGTGAAAAATTACATGCTCGGGCGCTGGTGGCTCACACCTGTAATCCTAGCTACTCAGGAGGCTGAGATCTGAGGATCGAGGTTCAAAGCCAGCCCGGGCAGGAGAGACCGTGAGACTCCTATCTCCAATAAACCACCAGAAAACCGGAAGTGGTGCTGTAGCTCAAGTGGTAGAGCACTCTCCTTGAGCTGAAGAGCTGAGGGACAGCGCCCAGGCCCAGAGTTCAAGCCCCACGACCGACAAAAAAAAAAACAAAAAACAAAAATTACATGCTATGAACTGTAAAGGAATAAAGACGAATTAGACACTGCAGCTCTGTTAACTTTGATACATATTTCTAGTCTTACATCATTGTCTTTAAGTCTTGGTGCCTGGTCCATTAGGGACAAGAGAATAGAAGTTAAAGATCTGGAGTTTTAAATCATTTGTTTGACATCAGGAAGTCATGTAAGCTCTTTCAGCTTACTTTCTTATTTGTTAAAAGAACAGCATTTTAAAAACTTATATAGGGGCTGGGAATGTGGCTCAGTGGTATGGTGCTTGCCTAGCATGCATGAAGCCCTGGGTTAGATTCCCCAGCACCACATACACAGAAAAAGCCAGAAGTGGCACTGTGGCTCAAGTGGTAGAGTACTAGCCTTGAGCAAAACGTTCAGGGACAGTGCCCAGATCCTGAGTTCAAGCCCCAGAATTGGCAAAAAATAAAATAAAACTTGTATTGCTGGGCACTGGTGGTGTACACCTAATCCTAGCTACTCAAGAGGCTGAGATATGAGGATAGAGGTTCAAAGCCAATCCAGGCAGTAAAGTCTATGAGACTTTCATCTCCAGTTAACTAGCAAAAAGCCAGAAGTGAAGCTGTGGCTCAACTGGTAGAGTACTAGCCTTGAGTGAGAAAGCTACTGGACAGCATAGGCCTTGAGTTCAAGCCCCAGTACCAGAACAACAACAACAACAAAGCAAAAACTTGCATGATTGTTTTGAAGATTAATATGGATAAAATGGTGAGAACAGTGTCAGACACAGTTGTTCAGTAACATTAATATTGTTCCCTTTAATAGGTAGGCCTTAATAGCTCTTACATAGATAATTACATCATTATCTTAAAATGATGTGGGCTGGACCAAATCTTGCTGAGAATAAGGATTGGAAGTTTCACAGTTCTGTCATGAACATTTAACAGCTGATTTGACGATTTTTTTATTTTGTTGAGTTACTGGATCTTTTGGCACCTTACAATCCATTTTTCACATTGCCATTAGAAGATATTTTTTCAAATTATTTTCAATCTGAATGCTACTTAGCTACTTAAGATTATTTGATGGTTGATTCTTATCTACTTGATAGCCCCGACATATTTGCATACTATACAAGGCCCAAGTTGAGTTGTGTACTGTATTTCTTTACTATTACTCCCTTATCCCTGTTTTCCATGTATTCCAATCATAAATACCTCCAGCTCTTTCTGCAGATATATGCATGAGTTAACCTTCTGAGGCAGTCTGGAGTACTGTACATTTCTCTCTCTCTCTCCTTTCCTTTTTCTTGCCTTTTCCTTTTCCTTTCCCTGTTTCTTTTTGTGATGATCCTGGTGCTAGAATTCTGGGGCTGGGCACTATCCCTAAACATACGGCTAGTACTCTGCCATTTTAGCCACAGTTGCACTTCCAGCTTTTTGGTTGTTAATTGCAGAGAAGAGTCTCACAGACTTTCCTGATCCAGCTGGCTTTGAACCAAGTTCCTCAGGTCTCAGTCTCCTGAGTATCAGAATCACAGATGTGAGCCACTGGTACCTGGCTTTTTGTTTTTTTAATCTCTGTTTACAACCTTATATAGTAGTATTTATAATAATAAATGTTTGATGAATAATTTGTCTTTGAATTTGAGGAAATAAATAGTTTGTGGAAAGGGAAGCAGTGCTGAAATATTGTGTGCTCAATTTTAGACAGCTTACATGTTGGTGTTCATACAATGGCTATGAAGTAAAAGCAGCTAACGGTCTACCAATTGCAGGAATATTTTAACCTGTCTCCTCACTATAGACTGAACGTGGGAAGACTTTTACTGGAGTTGGGATGTTGGGACTAGAGCTGAAATGGGTGGTCAGCTGCCTCAGTGTGATTGCTTGGCACCTGAGGATCTTGATGATTCCTATAATGTTTTCCTTAATTTCTTTTTCCAATAGGTTCATTATTATGAAGATGGTAATGTTCAACTAGTGAGTCATAAAGATATACAAGATTTTCTAACAGTGTCTGTAAGTAATTCTATAAAATGAAAGCAATCTTATACTTCTATAAATTGACAGTTGTTGAGTGAACATTTTAAATATTTTTGCTGTATATTATTTTCAGTAATTCAAGTTGGTAGGGAATTACAGTTCTATACCTACCAGTTTTTAGAATCTATATTAAAGAGATATAATTCATGTATCATGCAGTTTTTATGCTTTTTTAAAGTAAAATGTTTTTAAATTAGTAAGATTGTGCACCAGTTGCCATAACCTAATTTTCAAACATTTTCACCCTTCCCTTTCCCCTTCCTTTTCCTCTTCCACTTCCCCTTCTTCTTCGTTTCTTCCTTTTTCTTCTCCGTTGTGTTTTGATGCCAGTATTAGGGCTTGAACTCAGGACGTTTCATTCTCAGCTGTTTTACACATGGCTAGCATACTTGAGCCACACCTCCAGACCAATTATTTTTCTGGTTAATTGGAGGTAGAGTCTTGAGGTCCTTTCTGCCTGACTGACTTCAGACGGTGATCCTCAGATATCAGCTACTCCTCCTGAGTAGCTAGGATTACAGGCATAGCCCCCAGCACCAACTTCTTTTCATGCTTCTTAGGTGAAATCCATACCAATGAGTCACCTCCTATCTTTCCCAGCCCTAGATAAACCGTCAGCCTACTTTCTGCTTCAGTGGATTTGTCTATTCTGGACCTTTCATGTGGCTAGAATCATGTGAAAAGTAATGTTTTATAACTTGCTACTTTCTACTGGGCATGTTTTCGGTGTTCATCTTTGTCAAATCATGTATTCAGTAGTTTATTCTTTCTAGTTGTCATCTATTGTATGGACATACACCTTTTATTTATTCATTTATCAATTGGTAGACATTTCTGTTTTCTACTAACTACAGCCATGGACGTTCTTACTATGTTTTTTATTTAATATGTATAATTTGTTTATATAGTCTACATGTAGGTTTGAGATCAGATATGTGATTTGCAAATATTTTTACCCTTGTATGTTTTGTCTTTGTATCTTAATGGGATAATTTTCAGAGTAGGCTTGATATAGTCAGAATTGGTTATTTTCTTTTGTCATTTGTGCATTTGGTGTATTAATGGCCATCGCTCCCTAAACCAAGGATGTGATGACTTATTTCTGCTTTCTCCTGTGTCTGTGATTCTATAAACAATTTTTAAACTGGATTATAGGTTGTAAGTTCAGCATGCATATTCAAGATTTTATTGTACTGGATTTTATTTCTCCACAGAGTTCTTTCACCAGTCTTTTAATTCTGTATGAAGCATGTATAAATATGTTACCTGAGAAGACAGAGAACTAGTTTTTCTTCTGTGTTGGGTTTTTTGTTTCTTTTTGATTTTTGAGACAAGATCTTTCAGGGTAGCCTGGGTGTTTTGGTTTCTTGTTTGTTTGGTTTTTTAAAACATTTTTATTAGCACTTGGGAGATATCTACTTGGTGCTTCATAAATAGTACTTTTCCTTACAGAATTTGCAGTGAAATGTAATAATGTCTGGACTTCTAAGAGACATTGTATTTAGTATAGTTATATGTTGTATGTAATTGTCACTTATATTATTTATATATCAAAGTACCTTTGATGTATCCGTCTTGGGGAAGTTTGACATGGAAAGATAATTCTTAAGAGAAATTTGTTGAGTAAATAATAGATTGTGGAGATACATGTGTTAGTCATAGTAAGTAAAACCTGATTAATATTATACTTGATCTCATTTTTTTAGGAATTGTGGGTTTTTTCTTTGTAAAGTAGTAATAGTTTACCCTAAACGTTAAAATATATTCTCCCTATTTGGTAGGGTACATTTTTATTATTTCTTTGTTTTTTAGGTTTGGTATTTTTTTGTTTTGTTTTGCTTTTTGGATAAACGACAACTTCTTACACATAAAAGTTGTATATTGACATGCATGTTACATGTTATGCTTAAACTTTACCTGTGTATTATTAAAATTTAACTTAGCTTAACAAGAAATATACTGAGGCCTGCTTATTTTTATCAAATTTTATAATATATTTGCCTATTCCTTTGGATATAGAGTAATCAGCCTTATAGTTATCCCTTGTTATAATCCTCATCTGTGCTGCTTATTCAATTACAATATTACATTAATAATACATACTTATTTTAAATAATAATGGCTTAGTTTTAAATAACTTAGTTACTTTTTTTCATAGAATGAGGTGCAAACAGCAAAAGAATTTATAAAGATTGTAGAAGCTGCAGAAAATGAATACCAGGTATGATTTTTTGAACATTATTAATCTATATTCACTTAGTAGTAATGCTGAATTGTACTTTTAACCATAATCTTCATTTTTTTTTTTTTTTCCCTCTGGTGTGGGGCCTGAACTCTGGGACTGGGCACTGTCCCTCAGCTCTTCAGCTCAAGGCTAGTGCTCTACCACTTGAGCCACAGCGCCACTGCTGGCTTTTTCTGCTTATGTGGTGCTGAGGAATAGAATCCAGGGCCTCATGTATGCTAGGCCAGCATTCTACCACTGAGCCACCTTCCCATCCCCTTAACCATAATCTCCATTGTTTTATTATACAAGTTTATATTTGTTATATATTTGCTTTTAGTACAATGGTAAGGTTGTAATAAACAGTTTAAAAGAATAGTAAATACGGTAAATTCAATTAAGACTTTGTAATTTAAAAAATACTAAGACTCAAGACTGGTGGGTTGGTTCATTCCTGCAATCCTCGCTGCTTAGAATTGTGATTCAAGGACAGTCTGAGCATCTCAACTAAAATGCTCAGTGTGGTATCTCAAACCTTCAGCTACCTGGTGGTAGGCATAATAGGAAGATCATGGTCCGGGCTAGCAACAATGCAATTCTCTATTTTAAAAATAATGAAAGCAGGAAGAGCTGGAGATGTGAATCAAATAATAAAGTTCTTGGAGCTTAAGCTCCAATATGTCAAAAGATAAAGAATATTAGGATTTTCAGTTTGAGGCTAGCCTGGGCTATGTAGCAAGACCTTGTCTCCAAAAAACAGATTTAATTTCAGCTGAGTATAATTTCTAAATATTGCCCAAAATATTTCAAGATTTTACATGCCTATTTTATTTGATTGGCATTTTAATTTAAATGCTTTGTAAATGATTTGGACTGAAGGTAATCAGTTTAGTTTATATTTTGTGCTCTTATTTTTAGTGAATACTGATATTTGACCTCAGGGCTTCATACTTGCTCTGTTTACTTCTTTACTGCTCTCTAACACTTGGACCATGTCTCCAGCTCTGTTTTTGTTGGTTACTTTAGAGGTGGAATCTCTAAAACTTTTTATTTCCAGTCTGGTTATGTGCCTCAGTCATCTGGATCTCAGCCTCTTGACTAACAAGGATTACAGGAATGAGCCACCAGCAATAATTGGTAATTGTTCTAACTGAGAGAGTAAAATATAAATAAATCCAATTTATAATTTCATGCCATAAAACATATTTATGATCATAGTAATAGTAATAATTTAATTATTCAAAGTGATCATTTTTTTCTTATAGTTCCTTTTAATATGTTTTTAAATCCATATGAGATTTTTATTTGACTAAGAGCTGTGAAACAGGATGCTTAAGTAAAGGTTGTTATAAAAACATTTGTGTTATAAATTGTTTATGCTTTTCATTTACTTTAAACTTCTAACTATTGTTTTTCATAGACTGCCATCAGTGAGAATTACCAGACAATGTCAGACACTACTTTCAAAGCCTTACGTCGACAGTTGCCAGTTACACGTACTAAGATTGATTGGAACAAGATCCTTAGCTACAAGATCGGCAAAGAGATGCAGAATGCGTAAGATGAACATTGCATGACCGGATCATTTCAGCGTCTTTGCGTTAAGAAAAAAAAATTATTGCAAAAGTATTCAGAACTGTCAGACTGCCCAGTCATGGGCTGTTGCCATTTAAACTCACTGTAATTAATTAGTTTGGTTCGAGCACAAAGCTTAGCTAATCAACCCTTGTTTTTCACTTCTTTTGTTCTAAGATGATTGAAAATGAATTTAGTTTAATTGCCTCTTACTTTGTTATTCCTTTCTTAAAAATGAAGAGATGATTCCTCTAGTTTATGGTGAAAAGTTTTTGAAGTATTTCGAAAGTATTTTACTTACTATAACCCTAAAAAGTGTTGCCTTTTGGCTTACGAAATGGGTAACTTTTGCTATTAGCCCAATTCTTTTTAATGGGGTAACTAATGGACATTCTAGTTTAAGGTGGTTGATGGACTTAGCCATATATGCTGCTAAAGAAATTATCTACCTTTTCTCCTCACCTCTTCCACTGATGAAAGACTGAGATTAGCGGGAAAGTGTTTTCTAGATCACTTTATGTTTAGACCTTTCAGTAAGGTTATTTAGCTAGCTTAGTGTTTAACTAAACTTTTTTTAAAACAAGGCCAAGATCTATTGCTGTTTTGAGATTCTGAAATTAAATGATAATACTTATTTCAGAAATGCATTTAATGCTTTTTTTCTTGTGACAGTTACGCAAATTAGCTTGAATTCCATATGTCCCTGAGTTATTTTTATCACAAAGCCACAAATGTATTATAACAAGGCAAATTGTAATATATATAATCCTGAACTCATGACCCTGTCTCAGTTTATTTTTTTCCTTGGATTGATAAGTACTGAAATTCAGTGTGATGTTAAAAATGCAAATTTTCCTATTTATTTGAGTAGAAAAAGCACTTACTAGTGAGTCATATACTATTTTAAAATACTTTCTTTGGATATTGTAATTCTTAACTGGTTGTAAATTAGGAAAGCTGGGAGTACATATGGTATGCAGTTACATAGTCTTAATTTTTCCATTTTCCTATGCATCAGTAGCATGCTTGTAATATTTTTAAAAGTAGGTTTACTGATACTACAGGAGTTTCAAGCCTGTAGTGAATGTTAGTATTTACTACAAGGAGTTTTATGGTTTCATTCAGTAGTTTTGCTTCTTATACTTGAGTGGAATCCATTCCTCACATACTCCTACATGTCTGGGCCTGGAAATGTTTCTAAAAACAAAAAACAAAAAACACTTTTATTATGTATAATAAAATATCTCATTAGCTTGAATTGTATAGATTTTAAAAAAATTCTCAAAGCATGTTGTTTAATTTCTTTTAAAAATCATGTTGGGCTTTGAAAACATTGAGAATATAATACGAAATTATAACATTTTTGGCTAAATCACTTTCTCATAGTTTTACTAGTTTTGACATAGTAGGATTCCTAAGGAAAATTAATAGCTAAAATTATTTTGTTTCCTTTTTTAAAAAGACATATCTAAAGTATGATGGTGATTCTCAAGTAAATAATAGATAAAATTTGTAATTCATTAGCTTAGTTGGGTCAGTTGGGCTATTAAGGGTTTATATCCCATAAAGGTCAATACTTTGGCTCTGTTTCCTAATGTAGAATAAAAAATAAGATTTAGCCAAAATAATTCAAAACATAGGCCAAAATCATGTTTACTTAAGACTAATTTTTATAGGCTATAAATGGTACCTTATTAAAGAAGAAAATCTAAAATACCCTATAGCTCATGGATACAACTTGAATAGCTATTAACGTTAATAGCTGCTGTGTTAACCTAAGGTGTAGAAAAAAGGTAGAACCAGAGATAACAACAAGGGAAACTGGTGCGAAACAGGAGATAAAACCATTGAGAAGGATATTTGGAGCTTTGAGGAATTGTAGAAGATTGTGGACAGACCAACTAGGTGGTTATGGTCAGGAAGTTGGGCTATTTAGGAACTCAGTTTAAGATGTTATGAGTAATACCATGTCACAGTCAAATATGGGGGAAAGGGCATAGAGGATGCTTTGGGTTTGTAGAATAGGCAAGTGAATGAGCCTGAGAAGCAGTTGGACAGTTAGGCAAAAATGAACTACTGCTCACAATTGATGGTAATTGATGGAACGCTTTAATAAGAGCAGGTATATAGTGCATGAATTGAATTTAACGAAGGCTGTCATTATGCCCAGGATGAAAGGGGGGGGAGGGTTTACAGTGATAGTGTAAGGAGTTTAAGGTAGGTAAGCAGGAAAATGACATGAGAAGAGGGGAGGGATAGTTAAAACATGCAACAATCAACATTTACACTGAAGACTATATATAAAGAATGACCTAGAAATGTCAGAAGTAGAGGTTATTGTGGGATGCTTAAATTTGAGAATGATCGGTAGTAAGTTGTGACTGGAAATGACTGGTGGAGGACAATAGAAGTGCCACAACTGGGAGGCCTGGGGCCAGAAAGGCCATTGAGAATTCTGTCTGGCATGAGTATTATTAATCCAGATTGTACAAATTCTCCTGGCCTTTAGAAGGGTTACATCCTAAATAAAGCCATTCTAAAGGGAAAACATTAAACATGAAAAGTGAACTTGACAGCAGAGCACTGATGGCTCATGTCTGTAGTCCTAGCTACTCAGGATGCTGACATCTAAGGATCTCAGTTCAAAGCCAACCAGGGCAGGAAAGTCCATGATACTTATCTCCAATAAACCACCAGAAAACTGCAAATGGCACTGTGGCTCAAAGTGGTAGAGTAAAAAACCTCAGGATGGCACCCAGGCCTTGACTTCAAGCCCCATGACTGGAAAAAATACACTTAACATACCTTGGTTTAACCTAGCTTCCATAAATATTAGCCATGTCTGATTAAAATTATATGCTTCTTTTGTAATAAAGTATTGAATATTGCATAGTTTACTGAGTTCTGAAATGAGGGGAAAAAAACTAGATCATAACATTTTGAAGTATAAAAAAATTGGGGACCATCTGTACCTGAGTATACTATATTTCTGTTATCATTTTTACAAGTAAGATACGTGTTACAGATATTCAGGAGGCTTCCTCATTTCGCATGTTGGAAACCTAACATGGGAACAAGAGCTTTAAAAGAAAGGTGCTGAAGTTCTGGTTCATTACAAATGTTCCTAAAAAGTAAAGATCTTAGCAAGGCTAATTAAGGACAACCATAGAAAACTATATAGCATTTGAGTAGTACTTTCTGTTTTTAAAATAATGACCATAGTGAAAGTTTTGTAATAATGGAAGATGCTTTCAAAAGCTCTCCATTATTTTTCTTCAACTTGTGACCTTGTCAATGTCAAGGCAGCATCAAGTCATTCATATAATGACTTGTAGGCGTTGTAAGTTTGGTAAATAGGAAACCAGTCTTTGGAGTCTACAATTATCATGGAACTGTTTTATGTCACATCACCTATAGGAAATGCTGATATTGGTAAGGCACACTACAGGAAGTGGGAAGTCAGCCTGCTAATGGCAGGTTGAAAGGATCAATAGCCACTGTTTAAGAAGTCACGGCACAGATAACACATTGAAATGTGTGCTTATGTTATAATTCACACTTAATGTTTTGTGGAAGACAGACTTCAAGCCTTACTTAGTTGAATACCGTTTGAAAGATACCCAACCAACAAATCCTTTCTGGGAAGGGTCAGTTTTAAACTGTTTTGAGTACATGTATGCACGCTAGGCAGGACATCCTCTGTGTCTCAGTGAAGTAGCAAACAAAATACAGACAAAAGGCTTTCAGGAAAGGAATGTCATGAGTCCAAAGTACCACATTACAAAATGAAATCAATATGAATAAAGTTAAAAAGTATTCTTATAAAAATTACAATATGGCAAAAAAGATACTTAGTCCTAATTTTGATATAACTTAGTAATTGTGCTGGTTGATTTAATGTCAGCTTTTGTTCTTGTCCAGTGTGACAGAATCAGAGAACTTTTGTTTTTCTCCTTACAAACTGGCCAGGAAATACATGTATCAGATACCAAATCAGCCACTCACTGTAACAGCATAAATCTTCACCCATTAGCTTATATAACTACATGTAATTAGCATTCTGGTGAATAGAAGACAAAATTAAGGAAACAAATTAGAATTTCATAGAATGATGAGTTTTGGGGGGAGTGTAAAGTACTCATTTCTTTAAGTGTCCATGGAATTTTCTTACTGTAAGCATACCCCTACAACTAGTCACGTCCAGTGATATATTCCTGTACTCTCAAATCCTGAGGCAGGAATATCACGAGTTCAAAGGCAGCCTGGGTTACTGAGTGCATCTTACCAGAAAGCTTGCCTCTAGTTTCATAGACAATACAGAAAAGAAAATCTAGGAGTCACAACTCACTTAAGTATAAACTAAGCACCTAGATGACTTCTTTGTAGCAGTGAAATACAGGTTGCTGTTATCAGTGTTTCAGGACACTGAAAGTATCTCACAGGAAGACTATTAAAACCCTTCCAGAGTGCACTCACTTTTTTTCTGATATTGAGCTTTAAGGACTTCAAATTACATTCCAGTGGCTTGTCCTGGCCCAAAAAGTAAATAAAAATTAACCATTCTAAATATCAATAAAGAATGAGACAACAGCAAGTCATAGAAGTTAAGTACACGTCAAAAACCCTGTGAAACTATATTTTATCATTTTATATATAACGTAAAACGGGCAGTGGGATACACAACTAAATCAGAATCGTGTGAAGAGGAACATGAAGGAATGGGACTAGACAACAGAAGGATTCAACAGTATCTGTAAGATTTTATTTCTCAGAATGGCAGATATACAGACGTTCACTACAGCATTCTGGGTGGGAAGGTTATCTTTTTAATGTTTGTTTTTTTTCATTTACAAATTATGTGGGTGTGTGTATTATGCTGGCACATTTAGAATCCTGTGAAAAGAAATACACTTTAAAAGCTGGCTCAAGGTAGAATAATGGCAAAGGTCATAACTATAGAATAAATTGAATAGAAAGTCATTTTTCAATCTGAATTTCTACATGTGCATAATTTCCTATATCACAGGAATTATTCTAGACATATGTATAGCTCCAATAAATAAAACTCTTGAAAATCAAGAAAACATACAGCAAAACTCCTACATAGATTAATAACCAAAGAAAATGACTTTGCAGCCAGGTAGCACTTACCACTGGAATGCAATGATTACTCCTTGTTAGGAAATTTAGCAATGTAGTTTATAACATCAAAATAATTAAAGCACTTGAGGAAGTTTTCAAGTCCTGATTTTAAAGCTCCAGTCAGTATGGTAAATAATAAACTACTCTATCAATCATAGTGAGATGATAGAGTAACCAGCTAGGAGGGTAAGGGAAGGGTGACCACCAGGAGAAAAAAAATACAATGCTTCACACCATGTACCAACTTAAAATTGGACCAAAGATTTAATGGAACCTAAGTCCGTAAAAAGTTCATTAAGAAATAATAGTAGTTTTAAGTAATTTCAGAATTTTAGTTAAAACAGAGACCATATCATAAAAATGATTCCAAAAAATGAGGATTGTCTACCTGGCTTGAACAGCTCTTGATCAAAAAGCAAACCACCCATAGGGGAATACATATATGCAACTTACTTAACAGATCAGTAGTTTTCCTAATGTCAAATGACTCCCCGCAACACACTGAAAAAACTGAGAAGCTGATCCTTTGACACCCAGTTCCTAACATGAAGAACCTAACCAGACAGGACCAATTGGACCAATATTTATGCCTCTGCTGTTTTAAGTTGGTTTTTGTTTTCTTCTGATCAAGTCTGCCTCTCTTCCTGTACAGAATTTGGTGCCAAATACAAGGTCTTGTAAGTCACAAAACCTGAGAAGTGTGGCATTGGCTAAAGGCAGTGTACAACCTTTTCATACAGTGCTCTGCCCCTTGGGACTCAATGCTACTGATAACTCCTAATCCTGGTGGCAATCAAATGTAATCCCCTAGAGGAAGTAGGTTTTTGCCCTACCTCCTAGGAAAATACAGTAAGGCATGGATATTGTTGGCTGGGATGTTGGTTACCTTTTGTAGGTAATGACAAAACATTGAAAAATCTTGGATAGCTTTAACACAGATTGATTGCAGGAAAGATTCACAAATGGTGACCTGTGCCCTCCTCAGACTGAAAATAGTTAATCTACAAACTGACATGGAAGAGGTTAATTGCTCAATTCTTCCATATTTGGGATCTGCCACGAGACATCTAACTGAATTTCTTGTGACAGAAACTCTTCCAGGGGTTATTTTGTACTAATTACTAACTTAAAATATTCACAAGAAGAATCTTCCCCAGGAGCAATAGACAAGTTCTTCCCAGAGAGCAGAAGCACAAGGGCTGTCCTATGAGACTAG